TCCTGAAGTGCCTGGGGCTTCCGCGGGCAGGTTCTGGGGATGTCTCAACAGATCCTCACACAAAAGGGCCAGTTACAGCCCTCACATCAAGCCAGCTGGGAGTGAAATAAATCAGCCCCTGGAACAGCAGCTGCTGAGAACCCCACGGCCACACCCCAGGAATTCCAGGGCCTCTCACATTCCCCTCCAGCAAAGACCTCATCATTCTCCTACCCAGAGGGTCTTCAGGGAGGGACAATTTCAAGCCATGCATTATAGTGAGAACTGCAGACCAACACCCCAAGCAGCACTCACCACTCAAGTCTTGCAGGCAACAGCACGAGCAGCAGAATGAGGCGTCTCTCCTTTTAAAATACCTATACTTTTTTTTTTTTTAAAGCTTAGCGAGTCCTGGAGAACTCCCAGAGCTTAAGGACCAGCATAAGGTTCAGGGAGCTGTGCCTGACTGGGCTCTTCTCAGCAGCTGCTGGAGTTTTAGAAATCAGGAAGAGCAGCAATGATAATTCACCTTAATAACAACCTGGCCTCCTCAGGCCTCTTTCATCTGTGTGACTCCCAGAGTAGGGAAAACGTTAATTAGCAAGCAGGTGCCACACCCCAGTGATGATGTCTTATTAATCTATCAGCACAGACTGGGAAACTGAGGCCCAGGGAGAAAGATGTGGCTCACACGGAGCTAAGGATATAGGTGCCGAGGGCCACTGGGCAGTGAGGAACTAGAGCTCCATATCTGTCGTGCTTTGGGAAGGTGCTGAAGACAAGGGCGCTTCTTTCAGAGTCAGCCAGACCTGGGTTTGGGGTGAAGGTGAGGAAGACCCCACATATGTGCCCCAAGCCCCCTCCCCAGGCTGCCAGGGCCTGGTGGAAGCCTTGGCAGGGAGTCCAGGGTTCCGATCTTGAGCCAAAACACTCCTCTCCCAAAGCACTGTAAAGCAGGCCAACAGCTGCTTTGAGCACCTCCGCCACTTCTGCAACGTGCACAGGCACTACAGGCTAAGGGAGGGCGCAGCTCTCCAAATAGCCCCACGTGACAGGCGCAGTCCATGAAGTGGGAGCAAGAGGCACCTGGCAGCCAGGTGGGTAGATCAGATCAAAATCACGTCAAGTGGGGAGACTGCTTCTTTGGGACCCAAGCCCATCTCAGCAGCCCCCACCCACCTTTGGCACTGACCTCAAAATAATGAGATCTTTTCTACAGCAAGGCCTGCCTAGTCGGTCACTGCTTTAGAAACCGGCAGAGGAGGCTCAGCTGGTCTGTGCCTCCTCCAGGAGAGGAGGGGAGGGTGGTCACAGACCAAATATCTTTTCCCACTGTGGCAGTGGAGGGAAGCAGCACACACCTGAATGTGGATGAAGTGTAAAGATGGAGGTACTGCTTGTGCAGATCCACCTGCAGCCTACTACGTGCTTGTACTGTGAGAGATGCTGGGAACAGACACAACCTCAGCTCTGGGGAACCATAAGTGCCAAGCCAGGGAGCAACCAAAGACCTTGTCTTCCAACCCTCCAGGGTAGGGCCTGGGGAAAAATATTAAGGGTGTTATTCTAAGGGATTTGAAGTTGTTTTTCTTCAGCATGTTAAGAGAGCTGACCAGAGCCCATGGGGGACCCTGAGATAACACTCTGACCCCAAGGGCTTAGCTCTCCACAATATCAGGTTCAAGAACTGCCCTCTCTGCCTTAAATCTGGCCAGGCCCCCTCATGCACAAGAAATTAAGGCAGAATGGTACAATGTAAAACATTAGACCAGAGTCAGGAGCCCTGCCTCTGACACTCATCATTGTACAAATCACTTCCCCCTCTAGACTTCAGTGTACTCCCCACCTTTTTTTTCAGTTTCCCCATTTTTAACATGAGGGCATTGGACTAGACTGTCTCTAGGATTCCTTCCAGCCTGTGACTCTATGTTGTTTTGACATAGTGGCAGATCCCAGATTGATTTACATAAATTTGCATGTTCAATCAGAAATCCCAAACTCCAAGTATAGAAAATCCAATCAGTCCATTAGTGCAGCCAGACTGGGGCTAGAGGAGTCTGCCAGGTTTGGGTAAGGATTGTCAAAGCAGACAGTGGTAGTGGTGGTGAATTAGGGGAGGAGCCGGGGAAGCAGGGGCAGAAGCGGCATTTGTTCTGAGAGACGCGCTTCTGGTGACCCAAGGCTGATGGAGCCAGGGACCCCTCTTTTGCTATCAGGCAAGAGTCCTTTCTCCTCCTGCTTCTAACGGGGCCTCTGGCTGGCTGGCCTCAGAGCCACACCCCAAGAGGAAACGGCAGCCTCTGCCTAGCAACAGCCACATCCTTCACTCTGACAGGGACTCCACTGTTAACCACTTTCTGGGAAACTGACCTTCCTGGGAGCTTCCATTCTCCATCCCAGGGGTTTCTAGCAGTGAGGAAGGTTTCCTTGGGGTCTAACCTAAATACCTCCTGCTGTAGCTTCACTCTCATGGGCAGCAGGGCCCAGGGAAGAGGGCTCCTGGGGAGCTAGCAGAGGGAAAAGCAATGCAGGAGAATGTGCTCCACATTCAACCGATCCCACGGCCTTTTTAACCACCACCTCTCCTTTAACATCTCCCTCAGCACCTGGGAGACCAAGGATGAAAACAAACAAGAAGAACGTGAAGGTCTTTGGTTCTTGGGCTAGAGAGCAAGTCCCAGCCTGGAGAGTCTGACTCCTGAGAAAGCTCTACCCCCCAGGATGGAAGAAGGAGTCTGGGAAAGGTGGGATTGCGGCAGTCTCTCCCTGCTGCTGCCTGGCTGGCGTGGCAGGGTCTGGGAGGCTGGCTGGGCGAGGGCAGTAGGGAAGATTCCTTACACCCCTTGCCTGGGAGCTGGGGGTGTGAGTACAGAGGTGAGGTGAATAGGGCCAACGGGTGGGATGGGCAACAGCAGCGGGGCTCTCCTTGTCCTCTTCCCATAACAGGGTAGATGAGTGTGCTGTACTCCCTGGCCCAGATCCTAAAACAAGTCCCAACAGCTGAGATGCAAACTGTCTCCTGGGAATCTGCTTCCCCTGCTGGCCCTTGGCTGCCTCCTCCTCTCTCAACCCCTCCCCAAAGGCACAGCTCAAAGACTGGCCTGCCAGGATGTCTCACCAGAGGCCTTGATGGGTGGGCCAAACCCCAGCCAGCAGGAGTTCATACTCCAAGGCACCAGGGGCGAGCAGCACAGTGGCTTTCTTAGGCAGGATAAGGGAGTCTGTGTCCCTCCACCCAAGGTTCTACTCCTAAGCAACTTACCTCTTCAAACTTAGCCACCCTGCTGGAGGACCTTACTCCCCTCCAATTTCACTCATCAGTGGAACCACACAATGTCAAAAAGTGGAAAGGAATAGTAGAGCTTTCTAATTCAACTGCTGAATTTTACACATGGTGGAAAAGAGCACCAGAGAGGCAAACTACCTTGGCTAAGGTCACACAGCAACCTATGAAGAGCAGGGACCAGAGCTTCTGACTCCCAGTCCACAGTGATAACAGCTTGGTCCTCATACACACTGGTTTCTGCTTGCCTATTGTAGAAGGGCCTTTTTCCCTGCAGCCCAGGCCATCTGCCTCTCCAGGTTCTCACTCTCTTCCAAAGGCCTGAGCTGGAGAGAGATGCTGGAGGGCTCACACCACCTCATGCACAGACCATAAACTGAAAACAAAGTTGAATGAAGTGGAGATTATCTTCCTAGACAGGGATGCAAGTGTTTCTCTGAGGTAAGAAACCCACTAACCCCACGTTGTTCTTAGAAAGACAGGAACCCAATAAATATGAGAAGTGAATTTTGTGTCTCCTTTCTTGAAAGACAAGGAGTCTCTGAGTCAGCTGGCATATCTTGCAAGAGAGGGTCTGCAACAAGGCAACTGGGCTAGGTTCATTTTCCCCAAAGTACCACCCACAGAACCATTAGACACTGACCATTAGCTACTGTCCTCCAGGACCACACCTGTCCCAGGCATTTGTTTCCACCACTATCTCTGGCAGACAACTGTGCTTAAGCAGGAGGACCTGTGGGGGAGGGAGAGCAGTGGTAGGGAGGGCATAGAAGCACTGCCTTTACAGCCAGACAACCGGGCAGCCTAAGATCCCTGGCTACTCAGGAAGGCAGGCATTTAAGAAGTAGCAGCTGGACAGGCTGGTGGATAGCGCTGAGACACCTGGAAAACCAGGCCTGTGGGAGGTAAGGGTCCTCCGTGCCCTTGGGGCAGTGCCAGGGCTGGAGAGACCACGGGGGCTGGGGTTCAGACAGCCGCTTTCCTAGTCGGCCTAGGCCAGTGGAGTGTCGAGCACAGATACATTCTCTGCATTCTTCTGGCACCGCAGCCAGGACCCAGAGAGCCTTTCCTGCAAGAGCTGTCCTGGCTTCACTCCCTGCCCAGCCCTTCTCCCTTCCTCAGCCTCTCTTTAGTGTTCAGCCCACCCAGCTACCCTTCTCCTTCCCGCAGTCCCTCAGAGCCACTGAACGGTCGTTCCGGGAGACCCCTATCTCTCCGCCTCCCCCCACCTCTCCCCCACCCCACCGCCCCAGGCCACGGAGACAGCAAGGAGTGCGAAGAGAAGCCAGAGGCTCGTCTCCGCGCCTGCGCTTTGGGGAGAGCCTCCCCCGCGCAACAACCCAGCACCGCTAAGCGGCTCCCGTACGATGGGATGCGGGTGGGGTGGGGTGCGCAGCTAGGGCAAGGTCAGTGCTTTCAAAGGGGGCGGTAGACCGGCCCCCGGAACATCGCCCTCTCCGGAAAGTTTCCCTTCCGGGGCCACGGAGTGTGCGCGAGGATGGCGCGAGGGGCGGGAGGGGGTGGGGTGGGGGTGGACAGAGTCGCGGCCGGACCCTTCGGCTTGAGTGAGGCGGGCTAGAGGGAGGGGAGGCCAGCGAGGTCCGGCAGGAAGCCGCGCCGCCCTCTCCGACCCAAGGCTGCCACGAGAGCCTTACCCTCCATATCTCTCACCCCCAGCCCGGGCTTAAAGACCCCCCCACTCGCCGCCCTTTAAATCGCAAGTGGGCCCAGAACTCACCGAAATCAGGTGTTGAGCTGGGCTAGGGCAGGCCGGATCCGCCAAGTCCATGGCCGCGGCTCGGGGGAGGGGGGCAGAGAAAAAGGGGGGTGCTGGGGCCGCCTCTTGATGTCAAGGCTTTAAAGGGGCCAGTGAGCCCCGCCCCTCGCTCAGACCCCGCCTCCCCTCCCGCGCAGCCAATCCACGTTCACCCTGGATACGCGCCCCTCCCAGCCCCCTCCAGATGTTCCCAGGACGAGAGCTAGGTCCGCCCGGCCCGAGCGCTCCGCTTCCGCCCTGGAGGAAAGGACCTCCCCTCCCCCCTATAGCGAAACAGACTTCCCAGACCTGGCCGGGTCGGGCCCGGTAAACCTCCCCAGTGCCGGGGTAGGAGAAGCCGGGCTGGGCCGAGCGGGGGTGGAATGGGGGGCATCTATAGCAGAGAAAACTAAGTAGGTGCACGCGGACCCGTGGGCATGCGCGTCTGCTTCTGTAGGGCTGGGCGTGCACGTGTGTATGTGATTGTGAGCGTCGGTGTTTGTAATTTGCCTTCCTGCATACGTGTTGGGTGTAAATCTAAGGGAAGAGGCTTGAGTGCCTGCTTGGCCTTAAATGCTCCCATCTCCCTTTTCTTCCTCCCAGATCGGGTCCTTCCAGCAATATGGAAACCTGGGCGCTGGGAACAGGCTCTGCACCTCTCAGAGCAGTGTTGGCCTTTTCCTCACTGGTTAAGGAGGAGGGAAGGCTGACCAGAAAAAGGATACAATCTTGCTCTCAGCCACTTGCTGTCTCAGTGGGGGCGAGTTCCTTCCCTGCTGAACTAACTGCGTGCTTGAAGGAGGAAAAGCAAACAGCCCACCTAGGCCCCAGCAGGGCCTCAGAGCTCCCTTCGATATCATTCTCATTGGTCCTTGGTTAAACAATTATTTGCCCTTGTCTGGATACCATATAATCTTCACAATCTGGCCCCTTAGTGCAGGTTCTCAAGGGGGTTCTGCAGAGAAATACAAAGGGATCCCTAGCCACAGGCTCTGCCCATTTTATTAAAATTGCTTCTATTGCGGGTATACACAGGATGTATTAAAGCACCATATTATCCAATAAATGAACATAAAAGCTCAGGGAACATAGAGTGCTCAAATTGGCTAGAATTGACCAAGAGTGCCTCTCTGAAGGAGGCTCCTTAATTTAAAATGGGATTTGAAGGGCAGAGAGAACTTGAATAGGATCCAGGTGAAGTAAGGACACAAGGAGATTCACGTAGGAAAGAGCAAATTATCTGCATGGGACAGTGAGCAGATAACGTTGGTAGGGTGGGAAGTGGGAGAAGTTAATGGAGGAAGTTTTGTATGGAGGAGATCAGAATAAGGATATGGATTTGACAGGACAGGCGATTTTAAAAAGTCATTTTGGATTCTTGAGTATAGAGGTAGCTTGATGAAGACTGCCTGAGGATAGTGATTATTGGAGCCTAGAAGATGTCGTGGAGGTTACTCCCACCAGCTCTCTCACCTTTGCTTTAAAACAATTTTTAAAATTGATCTTTTTTTTTTTTTTTTTTTTTGCAGTATGCGGGTCTCTCACTGTTGTGGCCTCTCCCGTCGCAGAGCACAGGCTCCAGATGCACAGACTCAGCGGCCATGGCTCACGGGCCCAGCCGGCATGTGGAATCTTCCCGGACCAGGGCATGAACCCGTGTCCCCTGCATCGGCAGGTGGACTCCCAACCACTGCGCCACCAGGGAAGCCTGGTTTATCCTTAACATACAAGAAAATGCACAGATCTTGGGTGTTTTGTTTGGTGAATTTCAACAATAATATATACACTTATGTAACCCCCCAAACAAGATACTGAACCATCACCCCAAAGAATTCCTTCATTCCCCTGTATAGTCAATTACCCTGCACCTACCAACACCCACCCTCTGCAACTTCCTGAATTTTATCACCATGGTTTTGTCTGTTCTTGAATTTCACATAAGTGGAATCATACAGTATGTACTCTTTTGTGTCTATATTCTTTAGCTTAGTAACGTTTTTGAGATTCAGCCATGTGTAGTCTATTTTTTATATTGCTGAGTAATAGTCCATTGTATGAATATATTGTAATTTGTTTATCCATTCTCCAATTGATGGATATTTGGGTGTTTCCAGTTTGGGGCTATCATGAATAAGGCTGCTCTAAATATTCTTGTGCAAAGCTTTTTGTGAATGTGTTTTCATTTTGAAAAAGCTCACCTTATTTTTTGATTATAGCTAGTGGCATCTTTGTAATCCTGCAGCACTGATTAATTCTATTCATTCAATCATCTAACATTTATTGAATAGGAATCCGTGTCCCAGTCCTGGGCTTACAACAAAAATTAGACACGATCGTTTCCTCCAAGGGCTTAAAAGTCCAGTAAAAGTCCACTAATCTGTTGCATTCCAAAACCATGGGGTAGAAAAACCTTAAGAGTCTGCCAGGCATTTCTAACTATTTTTGGATGTTTCCAAATAAATAAATTTTGGGAAGCAAACAAACCATGTAGATTATTTTTTACTTTACATTCAGATGTTCGCCCCTGTTTAATAAACACAGCTGGAACATCTGCACTTGTCAGACAAGTACCTATTCTCCTTAATTTAAAGGCTCTTGCACACTTGAAAGTTTAGACATTCAGATTTGGGCAGATTCTCTATGCTTCACAGACCTTTATCTTCACTGACAGGAGGTGAAAGAAGTATAGCTACCATTGCTCCATGCTTTCTGTCTTTGATGAGGCCCAACACACTTTAATTACCACACTTAGTGGTATTATTCACTTATTAAAAATTACACTGAAGTTCCAATGTTGGTTTTCCACCTTGTTGTATACCACCAATCATAAATTGTTCTTTACTTGAGTTATCTATGTTACAAAACAAGCTAGGCCTTTTAGGTCTCTGGTTGCTGCAAGCTGTTGGTAACAAACCAGTTTGGTGGCATGGTCTAACAGTGCAGATAGTGCTGATGAATGACTGGTAGATGGCATCTCAGAGAACCATGCCCTCACTGCTCACATCAGTACTTTGAATGGGATCCTCTGCTTCAATACTATGTGTTCCTTCATTCAGTGTTGGAGCATCTTCATTCCTCAGTTTGGCATTGTAGCCATTTGGCTACTGTGTTACATTGGTTGATGAACTGACCCCAGTTTAGAATTCCTGACATCAGGAGATGGTCAGGTTGGTAATTGACCTCTCAAAAGATTTTAATAATCTGACTATTCTCCAGGTTGGATTGACTCTGAGGGCATTCTCTTTTTTTTTTGGCCGCACCCCGCAGCATGTGGGATCTTAGTTCCCCAACTAGGGAGTCTTAACCACTGAACCACCAGGGAAGTCCTCTGAGTGCATTCTTGATGTCTTTCCTGCTCACTAAGAGGAAGAAAGGAGCTGGGAAGAGGCTATTATTTGGTCCATTTGCTGAATAGGAATAGATCTTTGCTAGTGCTGCTTACTTCTACATAGGACAACATGTTCCTTGGGTTCTGACAGCATTGCCAGTATGTGCTTTGAAACCTCATACTTGGTACAGATATAATGGATCTGCTTAGGTCCTTGAACCCCTTTCTCCTCATTTTCATTATTCGAAAATTCTTATTGAGTCTTTACTGTATCCCAGGCACTGTGCATATAGTATTAGCTACCTAATAAAGAATTCATGTGGGGTATGATAAGCAATAAGATTGAAAAGATAAGTAGTGGGATGATCATACTTTATCCTAAAAGCAATGCAGAGCCTTTGAATGGTATTAAGCAAGGGGGTGTCATGATTAGAACTGCATTTTAAAAAGATCGCTGTGGTTGCAGTGTGGAGAACAGATAAGAGAGAGCAAGATTTGAGTCAGGGAGACCAGACAGAAAGTTTTTGTAGTAATTGGGAAAAATGAGAAACGATGTGCTCTGGACTAGGAAAATGATAGTGATGATGGAGAGGAGATGACTTCAAGAAATAAATAGTATTAAAGTCAGGAGGTCTTGGGATTGGAAGTAGAGAGAAGCAGAGAAGCCAAGACCTCTGGGCCAATCACTGAAATATCAAACACCTGAAGAAGAGCAGGTTTGGGAGATGATATACTCTCTTCCAAACATGTTGACAATGAAATGCCTGGGAGACGTCCAAGTGGAAATGTCTATCCAAGAGGTCAGAGCTTCCCAACTGTTGTGCCTCAGGAAGAGGTTACAGATGTGCTGCATGTTGATCTTCTCAACCCTCAGAGCAGCACAAGCTCGCTCCAACAGACAGCAATCTCAGTAAGGTGGACTGCCACAAAAACACCATCATTTTCTATGCGTGCCATGATGTGGGAAATGTTGGGAAGTACTAATATATGATGATGTTGGATAAATAATTCTGAAGCTCAGAAGAGATATCTGGACTAAGACATTTGTGAGTCATCAGAACATCAGATCATAGGTGGTAACTAAAGCCAGGGAGTATGGGACTTCCCTCTTGGCACAGTGGTTATGAATCCACCTGCCAATGCAGGGGACACGGGTTCGAGCCCTCGTCTGGGAAGATCCCACGTGCTGTGAAGCAACTAAGCCCGTGTGCCACAACTACTGAGCCTGAGCTCTGGAGCCCGCGAGCCAAAACTACTGAGCCCAAGAGCCACAATTACTGAAGCCTATGTGCCTAGAGTCCGTGCTCTGCAATAAGAGAAAGCCACCGCAATGAGAAGCCCGCGCACCGCAAGGAAGACCCAACGCAGCCAAAAAAAAAAAAAAAAAAAGAAGAGAGATTAAACAAATTTTCAGGTGTTATCTGCCATTATCATTTTCTGTGAATGTCTTTTTTTTTTTTTTTTTTTTTTTTGCCGTACGTGGGCCTCTCACTGCTGTGGCCCCTCCCGCTGCGGAGCACAGGCTCCAGACGCACAGACTCCGCGGCATGTGGGATCTTCCCGGACCGGGGCACAAACCCGTGTCCCCTGCATGGGCAGGTGGACTCTCAATCACTGTGCCACCAGGGAAGCCCTGTGAATGTCTTTTTCTAATAGATATATAAGAGTTGGTTGTATTATAATGAAAATTGCCCTTTGTCACATGTATTGCCGATAGTGTTCCTAGTTGGGAGTTTGTCATGTGAGTTTATTGGAATTTTTTTTTTCCTTTGCCTTAGGTAGTCAAATTTATTGATCTTTTTTTTTATGGCTTTTGTTTTTTTGTGTGTTTAGGACATACTCCAATTTTTTAATTGGAGTTTCTTCTCTAGTATGCTTATGGTTTTCTTTTTACTTTAAATATTACATCCAGCAGAAACATGGATGGACCTAGGGACTGTCATACAGAGTGAAGTACGTCAGAAAGAGAAAAACAAATACCGTATAATATCACTTATATGTGGAATCTAGAAAAATGATACAGATGAACTTATTTGTAAAGCAGAAATCAAGACACAGATGTAGAGAATGGACATATGGCTTACTGGTGGGGGGAAGGGGGTGGGATGAATTGGGAAATTGGGATTGACATATATACACTACTATATATAAAATAGATAACTGGACTTCCCTGGTGGTCCAGTGGGTAAGACTCTGCGCTCCCAATGCAGGGGGCCTGGGGTTCAATCCCTGGTCGGGGAACTAGATCCTGCATGCCGCAACTAAGAGTTTGCATGCCGCAACTAAGACCTGGCGCAGCCTAAATAAATAAATATTAAAAAAAAAAAAAAAGCACAAATGCCTTAACGGGAAGGGTTTCTCTTTAAAAAATAAATTAAAAAGTAGATAATAAATGAGAACCTAACTGTATAGCACAGGGAACTCTACTCAATGCTCTGTGGTGACCTAAATGGGGAGGAAATCCAAAAAAGAGGGGATATATGTATATGTATAGCTGTATAGCAGAAACTAACACAACACTGTAAAGCAACCATACCCTAATAAAAATTAATTTTAAGATATTTTAAAATAATAAATATTCCATCCAGAATCTATTTAAATGGCAAAGACCACTGTTATTTTTCACTGCTGCTCAGAATGACATCTCCATTCTAGACCAGCCAGTCCTTTCTGTTTTCAATGTACAAAACACACATTCCTGTGTACCTTTGCAGAGAGGTTCCTCTCTACGTGGCTCATAGGGCATACTCCTGTCCCTCTTGTTATCATTGCAAAAGCTATACAGCTGTCCCTTGGAAGCCATAGGCAATTGGTTCCAAGACCCCAATTGATACCAAAATCCATGGATGCTCAAGTTCCTCATATAAAATGTACTATTTGCATATAACCTATGCACATCCTCCCTTATACTTTAAATCATCTCTAGATTACATATAATAACTAATATAATGTAAATGCTACATAAATAGTTGTAAGTACGATGTAAATGCTATGCTGGAGGTGCACAGCAAATTCAAGTTTTGCTTTTTGGAACTTTCTGGAATTTTTTTCCCCAAATAGTTTTGATCCATGGTTGGTTAAATCTGTGGATGCAGAACCTGCAGATATGACTTTCAGAGACAGCTCAAATCCCATATGCTCCAAAACTCTTCCATGCCCACTGTAGTCCACAAAGATTTTTCCTTTTCTGAAGCTCACATGATCACATGCTACCATGTATAAGCCTCTCCTTTTCTCCTCAACTTTAACATAGTTGCTAAAAGAATCAAGTCTAACCTTTAGAAGTCCCGGTTTGTTTAACTGATTTTTCTTTACCCTCCACAGCAGCTAAAAGCATGCTGGGTATATGGAAGGAACTTGATAAATTACTTTTTGATTTGCCATAAATGTGTAGCATTAGCCACATGTGGCTAATAAGCATCTGAAATGTGGCCAGTCCAGAGTGAGATGAGCTGTAAGTATAAAATACACACTAGTTTTTGAAGATGGTATTAAAAAAATAATATATCTCATTAATAATTTTTATATTGACTGCATGTTGAAATGCTAATTTTTTAATATACTGGATTACATATCTATATATTTAAAGTATATCCAGGACCATTCTTCATTCTTGTCCCTCAGTAAGTCTCTTGTCATGTTTGGTGTTGGTTCCCAAATTAGGCTGTTTTGAGGATAGATAAAGATGATCTTTTCTTGAAGCCAAAGATATTCTTACCATCTCCAACGGCTCTCCTAGGCCATTACACAATCATTACCTTCTTGGTACCGAGACCTCATCGTTATAAGCACTATTTACACATCTTTTTTGAAACTAACAGCAACAGACTTCAAATACAACAGTTCCTCCCAACACGTCAGGTAACTGCTCAGCCAACAGAAATGTTGGAGGGAAGAGGTCAGGTTCAGATGCTGAAGGATCTCCCGAAGCTTTTACTGATCGAAGATTCCTCAGTTACCCATGTAGATGGAGCCCAGCCTATTCCTTTGGTCACTGTGGCTGTTTTCTGCCATCAGGAGTTATTTGAGACTGGTGCTGCTTGGCTTGTAGCCTAGTCTCATTGTAGTCAGAGTCCCTGTGTTAGTTTCCTGTTCCTGCTGTAACAAATCATCACAAACTTAGTGGTTTAAAACAACACAAATTTATTCTCTTACAGATCAGAAGTCTAAAATCAAGGTATTGGCAGAGCTGCATTCCTTCTGGAGGCTTCTGGAGAGAATCCATTTCCTTGCCTTTTCTAACTGCATTTCTTGGCTTGTAGCCCTTCCTTACATTACTCCAACCTCTTGCTTCTGTCATGGCATCTACTGTGGTCAAATCTCCCTTTGCCCTCCTCTTACAAGGACACTTGTGATTACATTTAGGGCCAACCGTGATAATCCAGATTAATCTCTTGATCTCAAAATCTTTAATCCTTAATCAAGATCCTTAATCTACACAACTGTACACATCTACAAAGTCCGTTTTGCTATCTAAGGTAGCGTTCACAGGTTCCAGGGATTAGGATGTGGACATTTTGGAGGACCAGTATTCAGCCTGCCCCAGAACCATATATATTTCTTTGCACTGCCTTGGTGAAGGGAGAGAGCACCAGCAGGGTCACAAGGTTTCAAAGTGTTCTTAAATTAAGATCTACAGAGAAGTTAGGTAAATTCACGTCTATAATCAGTTATCACTCTGCGACCATCATAAACCTCATTTCCATTAGCAATGATCACTCTCTCCCTCCCAGCACTGCTTCCTTTAAAATGCTCTGTAGGCTGAAGTTGAACTACTTATTACTCCCTCATCTTAAAAAACAAATTATTTGAAATAGTAAGATGCATGTTTTCTACAGAGATGAGATGTTTTTCTCATAAGTCTTTGATCTAACAGGCATGGTTGTGGTCTGTAGCATGCTTAGAATGTAACAGCACTTTAACAATCCATATTCTGCAAATTACCATCATATCCTTTAGCACATTTGGGCATAGGAAAAGGAAGGTCTTGTTATTTCAGTTGTACAGATGAGTAAACTGAGGTTCAGAAATGTTAAATGAATTGAATAGGGTGGTCATACAATGAGTTACTGGCAGATCCTGGTTCCAAACCTGATGTTCTTTTCACTGCTCTGTTCCCAGGCCAAACTCAATCCCAGAAGGCTGAGGAGGAGCTAACCGATCTTGGGATCTTAATACATCCTAGAGTTGGCCTTGAAATCCCTACCTCCTGAGGATGAAACCCACTTTTTTTTTTTTTCTGCGGTACATGGGCCTCTCACTGCTGTGGCCTCTCCTGTCGCGGAGCACAGGCTCCGGACGCGCAGGCTCAGCGGCCATGGCTCACGAGCCCAGCCGCTCCGCGGCATGCGGGATCTTCCCGGACCGGGGCATGAATGCATGTCCCCTGCACCGGCAGGCGGACTCTCAACCACTGCGCCACCAGGGAAGCCGAAACCCACTTTTTTGAGGTCCTACCCAGAAGTCAAAGCTAGGGGCAGATTGGGAATTCAGGGGAAGGTCAGGGTTGCTGGCAAGTCAAGGGTACAGTAAGAGGGTAGTTAGGACTTATGGAGACGTAAGAGTCTGTGTTTGCTGTATGTGCCTATTTAACTGGTAGGCAGCAGCAGGGGTGCTACTGGGTACTCAACCTAGAATTAGGCCTGATTTCTGCGAGGCGAATTCTAAGAACATCAGGGATAGCTAAGAGTGGCCTGGCTGGGTCTCTTATTCCCAGGTCTGAACACATAATTTGAGGAAGCACAGTAACTCCAAAGCCCATGCTCTTTTACACTGGCTCTCTGGAGTCTCTTCTCAGTCTTGATTTCCATGACATTTCAAGGGATAGTAGCCAAGGCCCAGTCTCTGCAGCCACACTGCCTAGGAAAGCCCAGCTCTGCCACTTACAAGGTATGTGACATTGGGAGAGTCACTTAAGCTGTGTGTGCTTCAGTTCCAACATCTGCAAAATGAGGATGATAATAGTATCTACCCCAATAGGGTTAAGGATTTTAAAAGTTATGTTGGGCCTTCCCTGGTGGGGGGCTGCATTGGGTCTTCATTGTTGTACACGGGTTTTCCCTAGTTGTGGCAAGCGGGGGCTACTCTTTGTTGCGGTGCGCAGGCTTCTCAATGCAGTGGCTTCTCTTGTGGAGCATGGGCTCTAGGCACATGGGCTTCAGTAGTTGTGGAGCGGGGGCTCAGTAGTTGTGGCTCGCGGGCTCTAGAGCGCAGGCTCAGTAGTTGTGCCACAAGGGCTTAGTTGCTCCGCAGCATGTGGGATCTTCCTGGACCAGGGCTTGAACCCTTGTCCCCTGCATTGACAGGCAGATTCTTAACCACTGTGCCCAGTATCCTGGGCAGTCTTTTGCCCAATCATATATCTCCCTTTTCTTCTCAGTACTTGAATTCGGGTGCATTTCTTTTTTGTTCACTCATATACTCATTCAACAAGTAATTCTCAGCTGCCTGCCATGTGTCAGACATTGAGCTAGGCTTAGGTATACAAAACTAAGTTGGGCTTGAGGAGCTCAGTCTCCTGGTGGTGGGGAAGAGGCACAGAAACAATTATAATATGATGAGGTAAACACTGTGATAGAGGCCTCTACACAAAATCCTCACTAGAATATAGTAACAAATGCAAACTGCTATAGGAGTTGGGGAAGATTTTTGAGAAAATGTAATATCTGAGCCATTTTTATGACAAACAGTTGAACCACATTGCAAAGTGGGAGAGGTGGGGGAGAGAGAAGGGAAGCAGGAGTTTGTGCTAAGAAGTTCAGTGTGGCTGATGTGTAGAGGAAAGGCATGAAGACTAGCACTGTACTATACAACTTTCTGCAACAATGGACATTTTCTATATCTGTGCTGTCCAATAAGGTAGTCACTAGTCACATGGGGCTACTGAACACCTGAAATGTGGCTAGTAGGACTGAGGAGCTGAATTTTAAATTTTATTTCATTTTCCTTAATTTAAATTTAAATAGCAAGCGGCTACCTTATTGAACAATATTGGTTTAGGCACTGGATAAAGGACAGGACTCTAGGCACTAGGAAACCACTGAAGGTTTTTAAGCATAATACTAGCATAGCTAAATATTTGAGAAAGGGAACACTAGCAGCAAGACTATGGATTGGAGGGTAGAGGACTTAACATAGAAACCTTTGGTAGGCATCAGCCACATGGATGAAATAAGTGGAACTTACATGTTATTGGTAGAATTCACTGGACTTTGTGACTATTTCAATGTGGGAAGTAAAAATGAGGAGAATTAACTGAAGTTTGTAGCTTGAGCAATGGGTGGATGCCAACAATTGAGATAGGATTAGGTTTGGAATGAGGGTAATGAGTTTGCTTTTGGGGTACGTTGAATTTGAGGTGCCAAAGAACTATCTAGGGGAATATGACTACAAAACAGGAAAAATATTAATCTGGAATTGTGAAGGTGGGGCTTATAACTATTGGGGGTTATTAGCATATAGGTAGTTGTTAAAGGTATGGGAGTGGAGGAACTCACCCCAGGAGAAAAATGTAGAAGAGGACTCGATGGACCCTAAGGAACCCTAAGCATCAAAGTGTGGTCTGTTTCGACTTGCATCATAATCATATGGCATGCCTGTTAAAAAGTTTCCTCATTGTGAATGTATTTAATGCCACAGAATATACATTTAAAAACAGTTAAGGGCTTCCCTGGGGGCGCAGTGGTTGAGAGGCCGCCTGCCGATGCAGGGGACACGGGTTTGTGCCCCAGTCCGGGAAGATCCTACATGCCGCAGAGAGGCTGGGCCCGTGAGCCATGGCCGCTGAGCCTGCGCGTCCGGAGCCTGTGCTCCGCAACGGGAGAGGCCACAACAGTGAGAGGCCCGCGTACCACAAACAAACAAACAAAAAAAACAGTTAAAATTGTACATTTTATGTTACATATATTTTTCCTCAATAAAAATTTCAAAAAACCCCAAATCAAACCAAACCAGAATCCTGAGCCCCATTTCTGACCTGAATCACAGTTTCTAGAGATGAATCCAGGACTCCCCAGGTAATGCTTATGCAAATTAAAATGTGAACCAATTGCTTAAGGTGTAGAGAGAAACTAAAAGATTGGAAGAGAATAATGGCAGAGAATGGCAGAGAATTAAAGGGAGCGTGATTCAATAAGGAAGGAGTTAATAGTGTTGAATGGTTTCATGGCCCAGGAGGAAGACTGAAAAGAGGCCTCAAAATATGGCATTCAGGTGGCCACTGATGAATGGGAGATGAGGAAGCAGAGGTGGTGGCATGTATTCTTTCAAGGGCTTTGCTCATGTATGGTGGTGAAGAGATGGAGATTGCATAAGGCTGAGAGGGAGATAGGACACAGGAAAAGTTGGTGGTTTTGAAGGTGAGAGAGAACTGAGCATGTTGGTAGGTGGACAGGAACGTTCAATGAGGCCAAGGAGACACCAAGGGGATCCTTAATAAAGTACAATTTGGGAGAGGTAGTAGAGGTTGGGATCTGGAACTTAGGCAGAGGTTATTTGGGTAAAAGCTCACTGGGTAAGTTTAGAAGTGAAAACAAGGGAAGATGAAGGGGTTCAAGACTGAGGGCAAGAAAAGACTTCCTGACACAGTAAACAAAAATGGCACTAGTTGGTGGTTAGGTCACCTGCTTAGATGAATGGAGAATGGAGCAGGAATAGAATCAAGAGCCTGCCTGCAGAAGGGTAAAAGTCTGGAAGAGTCACTAGGATAAAAGTGATCAGGAGCAGCAATATAAAAAGACTGAGAAGTAGTATTAGAGCCTAATTGAGACTGGAAATGGCACCAACCATACAATTATCCTGCACAAAATAGAAAAATTGGTTTTCCTAAATGAAGGTTTTGGTTCCATCCTCCTATTATTTAGGAACTGCTCTGGCTTCTGCTCTCTCTGCATAAAGTTCAAATTCCTTAGTAGGAACTTTTACTAACTTCTTCAAAAAGTCCAACCTCTCATTGGTGGTTCAGACTCTCTTGTTCCCTGTTGTTCCTTCTATAACATCAACTCAGAAAATAATAGGATCTTAGAGGTTGTGAAGCTCATCAATCCAATCTCCCTTCTTAGCTAGGTATGTTTTGTTTTTCCATCTTCTCTCCACCAAATCTTCTCTATCTTTCACTTTCCCTTGAAGTGGACTCATGGGTGTTTTAAAAATCAACACCTGGGCTTCCCTGGTGGCGCAGTGGTTGAGAGTCCACCTGCCGATGCAGGGGACACGGGTTCGTGCCCTGGTCCAGGAAGATCCCACATGCCGCAGAGCGGCTAGGCCCATAAGCCATGGCCGCTGAGCCAGCATGTCCGGAGCCTGTGCTCCGCAACGAGAGAGGCCACGACAGTGAGAGGCCCACATAACGCAAAAAAAAAAAAAAAACAACAACAACAAAAAAAATCAACACCTGCCACACATCAGTGACACCTATCCCATAGCACTGACGCTGTAGCCATCCAATTGTAGGCTGCATTTTGTGTAGGCTTCTCTGCACGTATTCCCACCCCCATACTGGTGTATGCCCCCCTCACCTCCATACTGGTGTGCTTTGACAGAGGACACTGACAAAAAAAGTCCTGAATTAACTTACTCGCTGGCATGTTTTCTGTTTTGAGCTTGGGTGAGGTTCCTTTTCTTGAGTTGAAACCTCCATGGGTAGAGTGGTTAAAGGCAGAAATTTCTTTCCTACTCCAGATTCACAAGGCATTCTCAACCATACTCAAGTCACTTTTATTATATATAAAATATAATTGTATATATTCTATACAATCCCACTTCATTCATCCCATTTGTACCGGTTGGATTTTGAGTTCATAATTTAATCTTTTAAACATCTTTTAAATGCTAGTTGATGCATCTTGGTTAGTACTGTATCTGTAACTGCTGTGCTCAGCCTGGGCATGTTGGAAACTTGACCTGCTCTGGAAAGATGTTCTTCCTACCAAAGCTTCTCCTTTAGCCAGGCTAATGACTTTTCATTCCAGATTGTATTGTGAGGTTTTGTCTCATAGACAGGATGAATAAGTCTAGAAGAAGCCTGAAGGCAGATCAGATTTAAGGAGCCCAGGGAAGGGACATTCTAAGGCTAACCTGGTCTAAGTCTTCCTAAATAACCACCAAAAGCAGCCCCTTGCATATCCCAGAACCAGGGTCACTTTCTCTAGGTCATTCCAGATAGGACAGATCATTGCCTCACAGGTATATTCTCCTCAGGGATCATCCCCCCAAATGAGGAAGATACTGATTCTTTTAATTGCATGTCCTGGACATTTAAAAAGCTTCTGCCAAGTTTTAAAGCTGCCTAACTATCAGGAGTTAAGGAGAATGAACTTAATTCTTTGTATAAACCCCTTTCAATATCTCTATCCTCCCTCCCATCTCATTGTCTCCAGAATCTTATTCTGTTCCTTTCTCTCCCTTCTTCTATCAGTGATTCAGGGATCGGATGAGTCTCTGTGGCTTGTTTTGCTCTGAAGAGCAGAAGGCTTCGGTCCCAACTGGTGTTGCCGAAGCAGCATACTAATTCCATGCCATGGTCCTGGGTCAAGATCTGCACAATCTGATTAGCCATATCACCTCGGATAGCTAAGGAGCGGAAGTGGTCAAAATCATGGAGGCCCAGCTTCCGGAGACGCCTTGCAGCTGCCCGATAACACTTCCAGGGCTGTGGTTCCACAAGGAGGTAGCAGCACAGGGAAGAAAGGTGGGCCAGGAACTCCCAAAGGCCTTGGTCCCCATGGTTCAGATGAATCCACATGGTTATTGACATGCAGAAGCCAATATCAAAAACTGAGCATCCAAACTGGCTTAAGAAAGAGCTCAAGAGAACTTTCCGGGTCCTGTGATTCATGAAGTCCAGGGTGATAAAGGTCAAGCCATCAGGAAAAGGGCATTCTTTTTCAGCTCGTTCCACCAGGACTGGATCTATGTCGCAGCAGAGGAGATGGAGCTCTCTTGAGGCATCTGAGCAGGTCTCCCCATCATGTAGGGAAAGGAAATGTTTGTATAGAGCCACACTCAGATCCTAGAGGAATCCAAAAGAGCTTTGTCATTGCAGCTCTCAACCAGGGAATGGAAGAGAAACCTATATCTCTTATCTTCCCATTGAGACTGCCACTTATTCCTGGCTTTATAGGATGTAAGGTTGTTAAACTATAGCCTAAGCAGATTGCCCCCCAAAAGTTTTCCACAAAGCAGGCTCTCAGTGCCCTCCAGGAGTCTCAGGCTGTAATGCATTATCTCCATACTTTCCTGACACTGATGGGCTGTGTGGTTGAAAGTTACAGCCCAATGGATGCAGCAAAGGAGTCCAGAGCAGTATTTTCCAGCTTAAGTAATATGCTGGTAAGCTCACTATCTTTTTCTTTTTTTGAGTATCTCAGACCCCAGGGAGGAGGAAAAGATTTCAGGGGCATAACCAGTGCTCCTTGCCAGGAAGGTGAGGAACAGAGCAAGCACCACCTTATAAAAATCTACTTCTCAGACCTGTGGCTGGGAAAGTCTGCATTCCAAAGTCTTCATTCAGCCTTCACTCTACAGCTTCAATTTTGCTACATGTGTTATGTTTCACTACCCCCTTCTGAGACTTATTCTGCTTTTGCATCCATTACCTGCTGACCTCCTTCTAGCCAAATCCAATGATTTGTGATTTTCACCATCTTAGCACATTTTTGACTATTAAACAAGTCACTATTTCCTTTCTCTAACTCTGACTTCTATAACCATTATAACTAACTCAAATTCATGTTCTGTTTTTTTAAGGCATTTTTCTATTCACTACCTCATTTGCTCTGCGCAACAATCCTGTGAGGAAAATATTTATGCCCTTTGTGCAGGTGAAGAAAGTGTGGCTGGAAACAATCCAGATGTCCAATAATAGTAGCATGGATTAAGACGGAATACCAGATAGCAATTAAAAAGGAAGGAATTCAGCTCAGTGCAGCAACATGGATGACTCACACAAATACATAATGCCGAGTAAAACAGCAAGACACAAAAGAAAATACATGGCAAGCATCCATTTATATGAAGTTAGAAAATGGACAAAATTAAACTACACTGTTTACGGATACAAAAATAGCAAGCTATAAAGAAAAGAAAGAAACAATAATAGTAAAAGTTGGGCTCTCTGGGTGGAGAGGGGCGTTTATGAGCAGGGAAAGGCATATGGGAGACTTCTTGGGGTGCTGACAATGTTTTATTCTTGATATAGACAGTTGTCATAAAGATGTCTGCTTTATAATAATTCATAAAGTGTGAATTTATGTTTTGTGCACTTTTCTCTATGTGTGGCATAGTTCACAAAAAACCTGTATTTTAAAAATTATGGTTCAGAGGCTAGTGACTTGTCCAATGTCACATGGTTACTACATGGCAGGATTTAGGCAACATTAAGTTCTTTCCTCCATACCAGGCTTCTCATACTTCAATAGGCATACACATCACCTAGGGATCTTATTAAAATAAAGATGTTGATTTAGTAGATCTGGGTTGGGGGCGGAGATCTGTATTTCTAATAAACTTCCAAGTCATGCTGATGCTGTAGCTCAAGGACCACATTTTGAGTAGGAAGATTATACTGCTTAAAAATTTCTCCCCATCTTTCTATTTATTTCTCTGCTGTCTTCCTCCTCCTATCTGATCTTGGGTGTGCCCCATGTTTGACCAGTCATTTCATCACATCAGTCCCTCCTCTACCACATCTCTTAATCCTCTCCATCCTCAATTCCCCAATCCTAGAGACCCCTGGAAGCTTAAAAAAGAAAACACAGACTCAAGGGCTCAATCCCCAAGATCCTGATTCAGTAGGTCCAGAGTACAGCCTAGGAGTTTCTAAAATTCTAAAAACAAAGCACCCCCCCAAATTATCACACATCTGTATTATGAAGCTGCTAAAAAAGACTGTAGTGACATGAGTGATCTCCAAATTATTAAATGAAAAGCAAGGTGCAAAAGAGTGTGCTATTATTTGTAAGGTGTATACTCAAGAAATTATAAACAGCAGTTCCCATTGTGTAGGAGAAGAGGATTTAGGGTCAGGAGTAGAGACTTGCTTTTTACTATATGCCCCTTTGTATTTTGAATTTTTTTTTTTTTTTTTTTTGGTCTTATCAAGTGCAAGCATCTTTTCTTAAGTGCAAAATAAAAAACTCCCTAAAGGTACAGCCAGGTTTGGGAACCACTGCCCTAGTTAACTGCAACTATGTCCTGGCCCCTAAGGTACACGTATACCACTTTCAACTTTAAAATCTCCTGTAGTTTCCTAATGCCTTTCATGAAATCCCAAGTCTTAAACCAAGCCTCTTTACCCCTTTCATCTGCTATATCAACACAGTAGAGAAATGTTTGCAAGGAACAGCCAGACACCCACCCATCTGCTCATTCCAGCTTTTTAGCCTGTGTCCAAATGTCTCCCTCCCATTTACCAGCCCTGTGCCTACAGCCCTCAACCCTCTACCAAATTCTCTTCTGCCTAAGGCCAGAAACATGATAACATCTCCTCATCCCCTCCCACTCCTGGTCTGGAATGGAGTGAGGGTACTAACTTTTTGAAGCATTTGTAATCATGGGGTCAGAATGCCTGCTCCTCTAGGATATCCTAGTGGCTACAAATAGGTGTCAGAGAGACATTTCGCTATTTTGCTTGTGGTTTGACTATAATCATTCTTACGCCTAAAAATACTTTGTGGTAAGAAAATGTGGCAATGCCTTCCTCCCACAGAATACTTTATTTTTCTTTCTCGATCTTCTTCCCTGTACTCAGCCAACTGATTGCTTTTAAAATAAATATCCACTTGGCTCCAGGGTCCATTCTGCACCGTTTCACACTAATCTTAATTCCAGGCATGATTCTGTCACCCTTGGCTCCCAGTAAACCAATCCCAACCCCACGCTCCCAAATTTGGGTCTCGGGAAGTCCCCTCTCCCCCAGCCAGGTCGCCAGCCACGCTGGACAGGAGGCAAGCCCAGGCACAGTGGCCCTTCCCACCCGGCGTTCTGCCAGGAGGCCGCAAGCGCGGAGGCGGGGACGCAGGAATTCGGAACGTAGTTGAAAACGATTCCTCCCCAAGATTCCTAAAAGAGATGGTGCTGGGACCCTAGAGGTGAGGTAGCAGCAGCACGGGGTCGAACACTACGCCTTTAAACTCATTTTGGGAAATTTGTGAGGGGTCTGGTGCCACGCCCTGGCCGGAACCCCAGGGGATGTGGAGGCTGCCAACCTCTCGGCTCGACCGACGTCCGATCCCTCCCCCGTCACTCACCCCGGAGTTACACCCCACGTCGAGCCCCAGGATCGGCCTTGTCTCTGGACTCTGAGGGAAGAGCCGGCGAAGCAGCTCTGGAGGCAGGAGGCGGAGCCGTTGCTCTGGAGGGTGGAAGCGGGAATAATGAGGGAAATTTCCGAATGGGGCGGCCCCGGGTTCCAGAACTCGCGGTTCCTCTTCCGCCGCGGTCTCTTCAACGCCCCCGGTGGCTTGCTTCATGGACGCCGCCATTAGTCTCAGTCTGGCCTCGGGGTCGCCTCGGAACCGGAAGTCGGGAACCTGCAGGCTCGGCGAGCGCGGTCCGGGCTCCAGCGCGCCTGCGCTGCATGGCAAAGGCGAGTGACTATAAAGGCGGCCTCCCCTGAGCCAGCGCAGAAGTTTGGGGTTTCCGTTGGCGTGAGGAGCCCTCGCCATAACCTGGGAGGTGGTTAGTAATATTATCCCGTTTTTCTGGTGAAACAAGCTCAGAGAGGTTGAGTGACTTGCTCAAGCTGACATAGTTTCAACTTGGGCTACCCAGAACAAGGAGTTTGTTGGGATTTGGAAGTCACTTCTGGTCCACCGTCCGTCCTTTACAAATGCATGTGAGATCCAGAGAGTAGGAATTACTTGTCCAGGGTCACACGCGAATCTGTGACGCTGGAACTTCACCTGGTTCATCCTGTGATGCCAGGAACTATGGGTCACTCGAGGTGCCAGAAGACCCAGATGGCCCTGCCTGCCACATGGGTCAGGTGGACAGGGGCAACTGTAGAGTGTGAGCTCTTGAGAGGCAAGGACTATGCCTTAAGAGCCAGTGCTTAAGAGTGCTTACCAGGCGCTAGACACCTTGCTAAGACCTTTACATGTATTTATTTAATTCGCACACCAACCCTGTGAGGGAAGAACAGTAACTAATATCCCTTTTATATAGATGAGGACATTGGGGCACAGCAAAGTCAGTAACTTGCCCAAGGTGTTGCAGTTAGAAATGATAGTACCAGGATTTGACCCAGGCACTTTGGCTCCAGAGGACGTACTTGCAGCCATTGTGTTATTCTCAGCCTGAATCCCTTATACCTGCCATAATGCCTGACCCAAAGATGCTTAATAAGTACATGCTGAATGAAAACTCAATATCTACAAATGGTATTGGGAAAACTGGTTATTATATGCAAAAGAATGAAAGTAGGCCCTTACACAAAAATCAACTCAAAATGGATTAAATGTAAGACCTGAAACTGTGTATCTGCTAGAAAAAAAACCATAGGGGAAAGGCTTCAAGACTGATCTTGGCAATGATTTCATGGATGTGATGCCAAAAGCACAGACAACAAAAGCAAAAATAGACAAGTGGGACTACATCAAACTAAAAAGCTTCTACACAGCAACAGAAACCACTGACAGTAAAAAGGCAACCTGTGGAATGGGTGAAAATATTTGCAAGCCATTTACTGATAAGGGATTAATTTCCAAAATATATAAGGAACTCCTACAACTCAAAAGCACAACAACCAGTAACTTGATTTTTTTTTAATGGGCAAAGGACTTGAATAGACAGTTTTCCAAAGGAAGGCATACAAATGACCAACAGGTATATGAAAAGATGTTCAGTGTCACTAATTATCAGGGAAATGCAAATCAAAACCACAATGAGATAGCATCTCACACCTGTTAGGGTGGCTATTATGAAAACAAAAACAAAAGACAAGAGGTATTGGCAAGGATGTGGAGAAAGTGGAACGCTTGTGCGTTGTTGGTGGAAATGTAAAATGGTGCAGCCTCTATGACAAACAGTATGGATGTTCCTCAAAAAATTAAAAATAGAACTACTACATGATCCAGCAATCCCATTTCTGGGTATTTATCCAAAAGAATTGAAATCAGGATCTCGGAGAGATATTAGTGCTCACATGTTCATTGTGACACTGTTCACAATAGTCAACATGTGGAAATGACTTAAATGTCCATCTGCAGATGAATAGATAAAAGAAATGTGGTATATACGTAAGTAGAATATTATTCATCTTAAAAAAGAAGGAAACCCTACCATATGTGGCAAAATGGATGAACCTTGAGGACATTATGCTAAGTGAAATAAGCCAGTTACAGAAGGACAATTACTGCATGATTCCACTTATATAAGGTATCTAAAATAGTCAAACTCACAGAAGCAAAGACTAGAATGGTAGTTACCAGTGGCTGGGGTGAGGGGAAGGGGGACTTGCTAGTCAACTGGTATAAAGTTTCAGTTATGCAAGATGAATACATTCTAGAGATCTGCTGTACAACATTGTGTCTATAGATAACAGTACTATACTGTACACTTAAAAACTGGTTAAGGGCTTCCCTGGTGGCGCAGTGGTTGAGAGTCCGCCTGCCGATGCAGGGGACACGGGTTCGTGCCCTGGTCCGGGAAGATCCCACATGCCGCAGAGCGGCTGGGCCCGCAACGGGAGAGGCCACAACAGTGAGAGGCCCATGTACCGCAAAAAAAAAAAAAAAAAAAAACTGGTTAAGAGGGTAGATCTCATGTTAAGTATTCTTGTTGCAATGAAATAAAATTTTTTAAAAAACCCGAACTCCATACAGGATGCAAGTAGGCAACTAAAGCCAGGTCTGATTTGGGAAAACTGAAAAGGAAGAAAGAAGGGAACTGAACTGAAAGAGACCTGGTGGAGTGGAACTAGGCAAAATGTGGGCTGAGCCAGAGATAAGAAAAAAAACTGAGCTGGTAAGAAACTGCGCCGAGGTGGCAGGATGGGGCATGGCATCGGCCTAGGTAGCAGGTTCAAGTCAGCAGCCGGGATGGGCCAGAATATCCAGCAGCGTCAGCCAGGGGTCTGCAGAGTTGTGCTGACCTCTCCCCACCTGGCCAGCCATCTTCAAGGGGCCTCCAGCTTCATGAGGCCAGCGATTTGCTGAACTTCTTCCAAGGACTGAAGCATGACTCCTGCAGACAGTACCATCAGAAGTTAAAATAGGCCCTGTCCCTTTTCCTCTCAATTTTTACTTCATACTTTCATCTCTGTCTGATCTATCAGACCGAGAGGACATAAGTTAATGACCAAAAGTCACAGTGGGATTGAATTAACCACAATATTCTGCACAACTTCTAGAAAAAGGGGGGCAGGGGAGGGTGGGGGAACAGCAGCACCACCATTTCTCTCTCCAGTGTTTGACAGATTTTGGTGAGCTGAACTTACCCTGTTTTGTCACTAGATGATGCTAACACAAACACTTGGCAACCGTTAATTTCCAAAGAGCAGGAATCACCTTGCTTTTGTAGGCAGTTTTTTCTTTGCCTGTTTAAACACAGTATATATATATTTGCCAGTAAAGAGTTTAATTTCATCAAGGACATGGGCATGGTTTTTGAGTTCTCAAAACACTGTTCACCCGAAAAGAAATAGGCAACAGTCCTAGGTGGTGAATGGCAGGTTCCTCCTGACCCCGGGAGCCTCAAGAAGTAAAGATAGGAGTGGGCCTGGTAATGTTACTGGGGACCTGAAATGCCTTAGAGGTGAGCCCATAAAGAGGCATTAGAGTTTGACTCAGTCCGGGGACTTTTTGAACCTGTGCCCATTTTTCAGAGCCTGATCAGCCCAAGTGACCTGACAGTGCTCAGCTGGAGCCTGGGGCCTGAGTAACCAGCCCCAACACCTCAAATAGCTGTAGTAGCACCTAAGAGCATGCTCTGCACTGCAGTTGGCTAGATTTTGTGAAGCCTGATGCCTATACAATTGTGCGGGTGGGCAGTGCTTTAAAGAAAAAAATTACAAACAAAGATAGGTATGAAAGTGAATATTTACAATGAGAAAATAAATCACAACAAATTACAATTTTTAAAAAGCTGACAAATGCCACAAACATCGCAAAAAATCCCATAATTGATGAATCAAATGCCAGTCACATTTGAATATTACTATTTTCTTACATTTTTTGGCTGCATACACTTTGATTGCTTCTTCACATGGTAATGATTTGAAAATACCATTTTACTAAGAGGACTAGAAAGATGATTCAGACTTATCAAATTTGCCTTTTTATTATTTAATCATTTAGAAAAGTTTCTTTCAGGTTCACAATTTGCTATTGGCAATGTCATGTAAATGTTTAGGTTTTTTATCAAATTGGGGAAAAACCTTGATCAAGTTTCTTTCATCTAGGAGCTATACAATCTCAGAGCATTTCAAATTTTCTTGTGCAGGGACTGTGCTCTTCAAATTGACTCGTTTACTAGCCAATTTGTCTTTGAAAACCTCATTATAAATGGTGAATTATGAGTTTTTTATTATTTGCATTGATATCAGTAATTTGTGTCAAGTCATCAAAAGGTGTAAAGATAGGAGTTTTGATAATTTGTATTTTGAACAGTTCTTATCAAAAGAGAAAAGAATGCATATATAATGATATTTACTGTGTTATTGAGTATATTGCTGACACAACAAAATTTGTTTTGACTGGATGTCAATAAGGACAGGATCCTCTGCTTATGTTTTTGTACAGCTGACAAGTGGAGGAGTTTTCTTCAGACTAGCTTCTGGCCTCATACATTTCTTTTCTTTTCTTTTTTTTTTTTTTAAAGAAAATGTGTTTATTTTTTCAATATATATTCTTTTTTTAAAATTAATTTTTATTGGAGTATAGTTGATTTACAACGTTAGTTTCAGGTGTACAGCAAAGTGAATCAGTTATACAAATACATATATCCACTCTTTTTAGAGTCTATTCCCATATAGGTCATTACAGAGTACTGAGTAGAGTTCCCTGTGCTATACAGTAGGTTCTTATTAGTTATCTATTATATATATAGTAGTGTGTATATGTTAATCCCAATCTCCCAATTTATCCCTCCCCCGTCTTTCCCTCTTGGTAACCATAAATTTGTTTGTTTTCTACATCTGTGACTCTATTTCTGTTTTGTTTAGGTTCATTTGTACCATTTTTGTAGATTCCACGTATAAGCGATATATGATATTTGCCTTTCTCTGTCTGACTTCAGCTTCATATATTTTCAAAACTTGATTTTCTTCTACTCCCATACAATTCTGGTGCCAGGTGCAGAAGGACACATTTAGACCTTGATTTGAACTCTGGCCTTGCACCTTCAGGTCACAACTTCAGGTGAGTCAGCCCGGTGGGCAGATAAGAGATTCCTGGAGCTAGTCCTTCATCTGGGCGTCAGGTAATAGCTGTAATAGGTCAACTATGCATGGAAGTGACTGTAAACCATGTGAATAGATCCCAAACAGAGCGTATCCCCAAGTAAACTTCCCCTTAGCTGGATTCCAAGAATGCCTGTGGCCATTCCAGTGCCATCTAACACAAGGGGAAATGTGAAGGAGGGTAAGTCAAAGTGGAAACAGCAGTCTTTTTTTTTTTTTTTTTCCCCCCCCCCGGTTCGCGGGCCTCTCACTGTTGTGGCCTCTCCCGTTGCGGAGCACAGGCTCCGGACGCGCAGGCTCAGCGGCCATGGCTCACGGGCCCAGCCGCTCCGCGGCACGTGGGATCTTCCCGGACCGGGGCACGAACCCGCGTCCCCTGCATCGGCAGGCGGACTCTCAACCCCTGCGCCACCAGGGAAGCCCAGGAAACAGCAGTCTTAATCAACTGCAATTAAAATATCTTAACTTTTTCAAATATTGTAAAATCAAATGACCTTGTAAACACTTAGAAAAATTTCTAAGGCCTTGGAAGGGTCCTGGGTATGAGTGAGGACCCTGAAGGTTGAGTTTCATTAGCTCCATGGTAAATCCATTTCTGTCCTGCACAGAACACGTATCCAAGCACAGTTAAAATGAAGAAGTATATGTAGAATTTGAAATAACCAAGTTAGGAACTATTCACATGCATAATGGCGTCTATGGCCTCCCAAGGAACCTTGCGCAGCTGACATCCTGGCCCATGGTCCAGCTCATCCTACCCTCCCATCCTGTCCCTCTCTAATCACACCCCAGAGCCTCTGCTCAGTTCCTGCTCTCCCACCTCATTCACTACCTCCAGCTGGGGTTTGGGGGGGCCTCAGAACTGATGGTTAAGCAGGAATCTATGCATATTTTAAAATATTAAATCTCTTTTCTCCCAGAAACAATGTTCCAATAAGGGACTCATACCTGGACTTTTGGAACACAAACCATCTATAAATGGAGAATTTACTTTTTATTATGGTTGAGAAACTCTGCAATTAATCCTTGTAGATTTTTAAACCACTTGGAAATAATATTCATACAATTTATAAATGTATGGATATGCAAACCTCTCATTTTCAGATGAGGAAACTGAGACCCAGGAGGTAAAGGCAATTTCTCTAAAGCTGGAACCGAATTAGTGAGGGTAGGTTAAGTGCTGTAACAAACAACCCCCAAATCTCAGTGGCTTACCACGATAAAGGTTTATTTCTCCCTCATGTCTCAATTCAATGTGAGTCAAGGGTAGGGTGGAAGGGGCCTCTGCTTCTCAGAGACTTCATGGACCCATCTAGAAGCTTTAAAAAACATATGGAAACATTAAAAAACATCTGGAAACATTTCACTGGAGGCAAATAAACACATGAAGAGTTGTGAAACATCACTAGCCATTAAGGAAATGCAAACTAAAGCCACCATGAGCTATCCCTATATATCTATTAGAACATATTGAAACATATTGAAAATAGAAAATAGAAACATATTGACAACACCAAATGCTTGAATTCTTGGATGCAGAGAAATTAGATCTGTCATGTATTGTCGGCGAGAATGTCAAATGGCACAGGCATTCTGGAAAATAGTTTGGCAGATTCTTAAAAACAAACAAACAACAACTGGAATTGGGAGGAGTGAGGATTAACTGTTCATGGATATAGAGTTTCTTTTGGGGGGACAAAATGTTCTAAAATTAGATTGTGGTGATGGTTTATTCATACCTTCTAAATATACGAAAAAAATATTAAATTGTACCCTTTATTTATTTATGTTTAAATATTTATTTATTTATTGGCTGCGTCGGGTCTTAGTTGTGGTGCGCCGGCTCCAGAGCATGTGGGCTCAGTAGTTGCGGCATGCGAGATCTTAGTTTCCCGACCAGGGATTGACTGGTGTCCCCTGCGTTGCAAGATGGACTCTTAACCACTGGACCACCAGGGAAGTCCCTAAATTGTACACTTTGAATAGGTGAATGATATGGTATGTGAATTATATCTCAATAAATCTGTTCTTAAAAAAATGAACATACACTTACCATATGACCCAGCAATCACACTCCTGGGTATTTATCCTAGAGAAATGAAAATTATATCCACACAAAACCTTTATGAGACTGTTCATAGTGGCTTTATTTGTAGTAGCTAAAAATTGGAAAGAACCAATATGTCCTTCCGTAAGTGAATGGTTAAACAAACTGTGGTACATCTCTATAGCATGGACTATTACTCAGTGATAATACGGAATGAACTACTGATACCTGCAACAATTTGGATGGATGTTAAAGCATTATGCTGAGTGAAAAAAAATCTCAAAAAATACAAACTATATGGTTCCATTTATATAACATTTTCAAAATGAAAAAATCATAGAAAATGGAAAACAGATCAGTGGTTTGCTAGGGTTAGGGGGGTGGATGTGACCATAACATCGTGGCTTAATAGAGATGTTTGTGGTGGTGGAATGGTTCTGTATCTTGATTATAGCGGTGGCTACATGAATCTATGTGATAAAATGTCACAGAACTATTTACACACGTTGTACCAATGTTAATTTCCCAGTTTAAGTAGTGTGGTATAATTATATAAGATGTAATCATTGAGGGAAACAGTGAAGGGTACAGGGGACCTCACCATACCTTTTTGTGACTTCCTGTACATCTATAATTGTTTCAAAATAAACAGTTAAAAAAATAAGAGGAATTATTAGAGAATCAATATAGGAAGCAGTTACACCCTCACCCTCTCCACCACCCAATGTAGCCATCTATGCCCCCGCCTGCCTCTAACCCTGGCAGCAAAGTGGACAGGGTAAAATAGAGAATCTCTGGTCTGGGGGACACCAGCCCACTGGAGGAAAGGATAACCTGCTGCAGGCTTAAGTGAAAGTTTACACAGTGAATGTTGAAAACCCCAGATTTCTCGCCCTACCACTTTCCAGATAACTGGCAGCCAGGGTTACACCCTTCAAGTGGGAGGTCTGGAGGGCCTGCTTGGGGAAATTTTTTTTTTTTAATTAATTTAGTTTTTGGCTGCGTTGGGTCTTTGTTGCTGCGTGTAGCTTTCTCTAGTTGTGGGGAGCGGGGGCTCCTCTTCATTGAGGTGCGCGGGCTTCTCATTGCGGTGGCTTCTCTTGTCGCAGAGCACGGGCTCTAGGAGCACGGGCTTCAGTAGTTGTGGTGCACGGGCTCAGTAGTTGTGGCTCATGGGCTCTAGAGCACAGGCTCAGTAGTTGTGGCACAAGGGCTTAGTTGCTCTGCAGCATGTAGGATCTTCCTTGACCAGGGCTGGAACCCTTGTCCCCTGCATTGACAGGCAGATTCTTAACCACTGTGCCACCAGGGAAGCCCTGCTTGGGGAAACTTACAGACATCTGGGGTTTCTCTAGGGAAACGGCCCAGCCAGAACTAGTGAAGCTCACAGAGACTACCCCACCACAAGCTCAGAGCTTTTTAGTGCCCCAGTCATTTTTTTAAAAATATTTATTTATTTATTTATCTATTTATTTGGCTATGTTGGGTCTTACTTGTGGCACATGGGATCTTCATTTAAGCATGCGGGACCTTTCACCGCGGTGCGCAGGCTTCTCTCTAGTTGTGGTGTGTGGGTTTTTCTCTCTCTAATTGTGGCGCACGGGCTCCAGAGCGCATGGGCTCTGTAGTTTGCATCTCATGGGCTCTCTTGTTGAGGCGCGTGAGCTCAGTAGCTGTGGTGTGCGGACTCAGTAGTTGTAGCGTGTGGGCTTAGTTGCCCCGTGGCATGTGGGATCCTAGTTCTCTGACCAGGGATCAAACCCCCATTCCCTGCATTGGAAGGCAGATTCTTTACCACTGGACCACCAGGGAAGTCCCCATTCTTTTTTAAATAGATTCCAAGTGTATGTGAAAGTAGAGAGAATGGTATGATTTCCATGTACCTGCTACTCAGCTCCAACAATTATCAAACATACAGCCAATCTTATTTCTTCCATACCTGTATACTTTCAATCTGTTGGTGCCCACCCTCTTTAAAAAATAAAACAAAACAAAAATAAAAACCTCACAGCTTATTTGTTGAAGAAATTAGATATTTCATCCTGTAGCATTTCCCATATTCTGGATTGTAGAAGTCATGTAATAATTTTCTCAACTTTTGTATTCTATATGAACTCTTGGTTAGCTCTAGAATCTTGTTCAGATTGAGATTTGATTTTTGGCAGGAAAACTACTAGGTGGGGATGTACTTCCTATTGTATCTCATCGGGGGGCCCACTCTTAAAGTAGAACAGATGACCCTAGATCATCAGACATTTGAGGAAAGTCTCTAACATGAAAAATAGAGTTCAAATAGCCTGGAAACAAGTAAGTCAGAGGAGCAAAAACCATGCAGGGAGAAGAAAAATATCCTCCAAATCCTAAAATACTAACATTCTCTATGAATTAAGAGAGATATTACAACCATGAAACAAGCTAGAAAAAGAACATTGAATCCAAGTGATGGTTATGTTTATCATAAAATTCTTTCAACTTTTCTATATGTTTGGAAACTTCTCACAGCAAAATATTGGGGAAAAAGAACATTTAAAGAACAAACAGAAGCGTTGGGAATTAAAACTGTGATAGCAGAAATGAAATACTCCATAGAGTAGCTGGAAGACAAAATTGAGGCAATCTTCTACAAAGTGGAGCAAAAAAGGCAAAGATGGAAAATAGAAGACAAAAGATATAGTCTGGCTTAGGTGATCTGATATCCAAATAATAAGAGTTCCAGAAAGAGAAAGCTGAGGGAACTATCAAACTATCTGTCAAAGAATTAGCAAATAAATCAAAGAACTAGCAAAGAAATAATTCAAGAAAATTGCCCAGAACTGAAAGGCCTATCAGTTGTATAATGGATAAAAATAGTTTCCTTTCCATCCTCCCTCCCTTTCTCCTTTTTTCCTCTTGTCATCCTTCTCTCCTTCCTTCCTTTTTTCTCTATTTATTTTATTTAACTTCCCTTTGCAGGATATTTTATTACACAATTATGTAATTTTTGGTATAGAAAAATTAGTAAATCCAGATAAAACAAATAATAAACAAATACAGGGACTTCCCTGGTGGTCCAGTGGTTAAGAATCCTCCTTCTAATGCAGGGGACGCAGGTTCAATCCCTGGTTGGGGAACTAAGATCCCACATGCTGCAGGGCAACTAAGCCTGCGCACTCTAGAGCCCACGCGCCACAACTAGAGAGAAGCCCATGTGCCGCAACAAAAGATCCTGCATGCCACAACGAAGATCCCCCGTGCTGCAACTAAGACCCGACACAGCCCAATAAATAAATGAATATTAAAAGAAAACAAATACAGTAAAGTGACAGGGCACAGAGATCTGTTGTGTCTCTATACATTGACAGTGAGCTAGTAGAAACAGAAATTGAGAAAACAATTTCATTTACAATTGCAACAAAAAGAATAAAATAGCTAGGAATAAACTTAACCTAGGAGGTGAAAGACCTGTACGCTGAACACTGTAAGACGTTGAAAGAAGTTGAAGAAGACACAAACAAATGGAAAGGAATTCATGTTTATGGACTGGAAGAATTAGCATTGTTAAAATGTCCATATTGGGCTTCCCTGGTGGCACAGTGGTTGAGGGTCTGCCTGCCGATGGAGGGGACACGGGTTCGTGCCCTGGTCCGGGAGGATCCCACATGCCGCGGAGCGGCTGGGCCCGTGAGCCATGGCCGCTGAGCCTGCGCGTCTGGAGCCTCTGCTCCGCAACAGGAGAGGCCACAACAGTGAGAGGCCCGTGTACAGCAAAAAAAAAAAAAAAAAAAAAGTCCATATTACCTAAAGCAGTCTGCCTATTCAGTGCAATCCCTATCAAAATCCCAAGGACATTTTCCACAGAAATAGAACAAAAAAATTCTAAAATTTATATGGAACCACAAAAGGCCCTGAATAGCAAAAGCAATCTTGAGAAAAAAGAACAAAGCTGGAGGTATAACACACCCTGATTTCAAACTATATTACAAAGCCACAGTAATGAAAACAGCATGGTATTGGCAGAAAAACAGATACATAGATCAATGTAAGAGAATTGAGAGCCCAGAAATAAACCCATGCATGGGTTTACGGACAATTAATTTATGACAAAGGAGCAAAGACCATACAATGGAGAAAGTATAATCTCTTCAATGAATGGGGTTGGGAAAACTGGGCAGCTTAAACATGAGACTAGACTACTACCTCACACCATACACAAAAATCAACTCAAAGTAGATTTAAAGACTTGAATGTAAAACCTGAAACCATAAAACTCTTAGAAGAAAACGTGTATGTTTT